CATATGACAAGCTATATGCTGAAGAGCTGCCGTGAATTTGCAGAAGTAATGGCCTCTGTTAGCCTTAGAACATGCTTGGGAGCCCCAGCAGCCCTGAGAATACATATACACAGCCTCCTGAACGATCATGTAGTCCAAGTACTAATGTAGTCCATAAATGGCTCAATTATGGACTACATGTCAATCAGCAGCTGTTGCAGGGGCCGTGGGGTGTCCCAGCAGGCAGGGGGTGTGAGTGAGAGTGCAGAGAAAAAGCCTGAGGCAGCAGCAGAAAGCAGCAGGGCTGGGCAGCAGCTGCTGCATGCAGCCAGGGAGACACACCCTCCAGAAAGGGGAGAGAGGATTGGGGTATCGGTTTTTCCCCCTGAGGCACCCGAGCAGATGGCAAGGGTCCTTTACAGTGAGGCAGGGTGCCAATAAGGTCCCAGTTCAATGGCTGGTCTCATGAGCAAAGGCTCACCCATGGCATGAAAAAACAGGGTAGGGCTGATCTCTGGCAGTGAATTCCCCCACCAGACAGCAGCTCACCATCCTCCTCCAAAGTCGAGAGAGCAAGAGAGCTAGGAGCCATCCTAGCCCCCTTTTTCCCCAGCCCAATTCTCGTGGTATCTCTGCCCCTCCAAGAGAAATCCCCCAGCTAAGAGAGTGGCAAGCTGTACCCTTCCTGTGGAAACTTCTTTCATCTCTCCTAATTATCAGTCATGGTTTCTTCGTGACAGACAGCAAAATTCCACGAGAGAAAGAAGCAATAGGAAAGATCCCAAACTCCAACAACACCAAACTTTCTACTGGTCTCAGGAGCACAGAGTATTCCTGCTGGAGCAGACATAAAGAGCCAGACAGCAGAGACAGGAGACACAGGAACCCATCTTTGAGAGACTCACAGAGGGAACACATGGCTGTAGATGTGCCCTGGGCAGTAGAGGTTCCATGGCAACAGGAGACCTCCCGGAGGTACTGTGGCAAAGACACCCCTGAGGGAGTGTGGCCACTCAGAACAGAACAGTGACAGCCCTGAGGGACCATAAGAGATCCTCATAGAGAGTGGGACACTGAAAACCAAAGAGGAGCAGAGGAAGAAGCAGCAGCAAAAGACACCATTAAGCTCATTACAACTTTCTGGCTTTGCATATTACCCCAGCAAAGAAGCAGAAGATGGGCTGAACACAACCTGCAGTGAAAACCAGGGATGATGATATAGAGTGAGTAGGGCTGTTTGGGCTTAAAATTAAAGTAGGGAAGAGGGAGAGCCTTTAGGGTTTGATGGATTGATTTTTTTTTTTCTCTCTATTCTCAAACTCATGATTAGAAGTTTGCCTTTAACTTACAGAAAGCAAATATAAGTAAAAGTCCCATGAGTTGAGACTGTTTTGCTCGTAACTTTCTCTCAAAACATTTTTACTAGCCTCCAAAGAGCAGGTTCCTGTGTCAGAGCATGCAAAAGCAGTTTGCAGAAGGCTAGAAAAAAATGGTATACTCCTGTCAAAATGATCTTAACCAATGACTACTAATATCACTGCATCTTCTAACATAGCTGACACCTGATGAAATGCAAGGTCATTTCAGTTCAAGACTGCAAGAGTTAAAGCAGGCAAGAGTCTCAAGCACAGGCAACCCAATCATATGAAACTGAGTAACATCAGGAAAATACTGAAATTGGTCTTGGCTAGATGGCAGTAGGCTGAGTCACACTTAGCTCTTGCCAAGTTAAATCACTGTAACTAAGAGCTACAGCTTAAGGAAAGCTTATGGATTGTTGCAGTGACATAATTTTGATATAACAGTACAGTGGCCATTTTATATTACACCACATAAAATTATTAGCCATTTCATATTAGAGAAAACAGATGGAGAAACAAGTGCCGCATTTTTAAAGTTCATGCTGACATGTATGCATTCTAGCACTGCTACTGAAATTTTTCCAATGAAAACTATGGGGCTTGTTGGCATATTATTGGTTTTGTTTAGGTTTTTAAAAGTCAGATTTAAAAGGCAAACTACTCCAGAGCCCACAAAGCAGAGCTCAGTCTCCAGGAGTCCCTGCAGCACCTCTCTGTCCCAGCTGAAAGCTCCATCTGCTGGATTACAGACAGGATCATTTCACCATCTTCCACCCAACTAGTCATCTCTCTTAACACTGACTTGCCTCAGCAAGAAGTCAGGAGCACAAGTGTTTCCTTCCCTTGCTCAGGGACCTCTAATTACACAGGTCTTAGAAAGAAGGGATCTCCACCTTCACTTCACCCCAGGCTACTGATCTTACAACATTGGTACATCATTTTCCAGCCTGTATTTTGCTCACCTCTGAATGTCCTTTTGGCAATTGTGCTTCAATCAACAAGTTCCTCCCAATTCTTGCAACAGATACTTAAACCATGTACCTCAGTCCAAACTCCAGGCCCACAGTAAGCAGACAGCTTTTCATGCTTTGATCTTTTTCCAGTAGAATATGGGAGATTTTTGAGCCTTGTGTCTGAATGCAGCTGTTTCTTGCTGCTCATCATGCACAGAATCACAGAGATCACTGAGCTTGGTTTAGACCTCCAATATCACCAAGTTCATGTGTAGAGTATCATGCAAGGCTTTTTTTAGTTTGATTCTTCATCTGCTGTGGTCTTCATACACATTGTACAGAAGTCATGCTGCCTAATGCTTTTTTTTTTTTTTTTTTTTGCATTGTATTTTGAAAACCACATGCCTCAAGTTAGACACAGGGCTAACCTTATGATTTTGCAGGTATTAGATGGCTAAGTTGGTCTTACCTCACAGCCAGCTAGAACAGGAAGCCTCTTGTCCTTTCCTCCCTGTCCCCACCTCATTTCCACTCTCCCATGCTAGGCCCTGCCACTCCCTTGTGCAGGCAGGAACTCCGGCCGAACACTCAGCACAGCAAACTCGATGCAGATTAGTCATCTGCTGATTTACCAAGCTGAATGATCTCAGTGCAGGCCTCAATGGGCACCAGACCAAAAAAAAAAAGGGAAGAGAAATAGAGATCCCCGTCCTCAGCAGGGGCAAGTTGTCAGACTGCCTATAGAAAATGGTGATATAAAAACTTACATTTAACCTTCCAATGGATACAGCCCCAACGGTATCTAAATTTCAGCTTTGCCAGACTGGCAGAGTTCATACTTGGCACACGAGACAACACTTAAACAGCAGCTTCTAAGTTAAAACTGTGAGCTCTTTCTCTAAGCAAGCTCAAATAACACAGTTCACCCTTGCTTAATAATACATTCAAATCCTTGTTGATATGTTGAATATTGATTTAATACTAACAAATTTCCTGTGCCTAAAATGGATAATCCCATAACAAGTTATCAGTCCAGGGCACAGATTCTTCTGCTTGAATCATGAAAGCAGGCAGTCCCTCAGTGAAAATAGTCAACTCCACAGAGTTGCATGACAACTGAATTGCTGATAAAGCAAGATTAACTTTCTATAGAAGTTCTGTAAATTCAGACTACACAAAGCCCACCAACAGTGAAATTAACTTTTTCAAAAGCATGTAATTCAGGTTTTGCTTTTGTCATTTAAGATGGCATAAGCACAAATCTGAAATTCCCCTGGAGGACCCCACCCTCTCCAGGCTGACATTCTCTGCAGTTCTCAAATTCTTACTTATTTTGTTTAAGGAAAAAGTGTCCAAACTAATTATAACTATCTACTTGGTTTGCATTATTGAAATTAACCAATACTCATATATATTCACTAGCTTTCTAAAGCAATCTTTCACATTGCTTTTAGTAGTAGTATAATTTTCCTCAGAATTCTAAACAAAACTCATAGAGACAGTTGTGCACCTTCCCTCCAGTAAAGCACAATCCAGACATCTCTTTTCATCTCCACGCTTCTTGGTGAAGTATAGGAAGACACTGTTTCTCAGTGGCCCCAAATACTTCCATGTGTTAAGAGCATCACAGCAAAGATCTTGCCGTCCACGACCATGAGGGCTGCTTGCAGAAGTAGAGAAGGAAATTTTCCACACAAGTAGTAAGAGGATAAATGTAGCCTGCATCATCTGTCAGTTTTAAAGGTGTTTTCTACAAAATTGTATTTTTTTCCAAGAGCTCAGCTTTTCCAACCTGCAAATCAAGACCACAACAGGGCCACAGCCGAACTGAATTCAAGCAGCCTTGCTGTCAAACTGTTTATCTACATGTGCACTATCTACAGCTTCCAATCAACGTTAAGAACATGCATTTTTCCTTCTCTTTTACGGTGAAGAGGTAACTATTTAAGACTTAAGGTGTTTCTTTGATGAAGTACCTGAAAATAGCAACAAGTATGCTTATTAACATAGTAAAAGAAAAAAGAAATGTCTTAAAAACAATCATATGAATGGGAAACGGCAGTTTGAAACGCATATTGCAGTTCAGCAGTCCTCTGCCTGGAAAAAACACCTTCGTACCGGGGGCTTTACTACTTTCTCCGCCCCAAAAATGTTTATTTTTACCAAATACCGACGTGCATACAGACTTTTTTTGATCAGGGTTCAGGAAAATTGTCCCCGATACATACTGAAGCAACGAGAAGCTTCTCAGAAAATACACCAGTGTGTTTGGCCGTGCGGTTTTGCCATAATTACATTTTAAAGGCTGTCGTGTGACGGCAGACTTTGTGGTGAGTAACTACCCGATGCCCTGGGACTGCCGTGACTCCGCTTTCCTTCCTAAAATGGAAGCTGCGCTCCAGCCGAGCTCCCCACACCCGAAACCCCCTTCGAGGACCACCCTTCAAAAAGGGCCCTACTGGGGCGAGGACCGCGTACTCTCCGCAGATGATAGCTGACTGCCTAGTCAGTTCCAGTGCGGAAGGCGGGCAGAAATACTTTTTCAGCGAGTTAAATGAAAAGAAAGAAGAGAGGGGGAGGAAGCCTGGAAGGCGAGAGCGCTGTTTCCCAGTTCTATGAGACACGGTCAGCCAGGGACCCGCCCGGCTCCCTGCCGGGACTGCTCCGCCGACCCGCACGGAGCTGCAGCCCTCCCACCCCTCCTCACCTCTGACGGAGACCAGGCCGGCGAGGAGCGCCGGCAAGAGAAGGAGCCTCCAGCGTCGCATGGCTGCCCGCTGCTCAAACTCACAGCCACACACACACACACACACACACACACACACACACCCCGTACGGCCCCACAGCCGCTCCTGAGGCGGCAAGGGCGGCACCGCCCGGGGCCGCGCCCCGCCCCAGCGCGCTCGGGCCGCCGCGCCCCAGGGCCTGCCTGCCTGCCAGCGGGGCGGCGGGACACTCCGGGACCCGCCTGCTGATGCCGGCGGCTGGGTTGTAGTCTCGGCCGAGATGAAGAAGGAGTGGGACTTCTTCGCGTTGCTCAGCCCTGACTGCTGCCGTGCAGCCTGCCTGCGAACCGAAGGCAGCGCCGAAAGGCGGCTACAGCGCTTAAACTCTGGTGCCAGGTTTTAATAGCAGAGATGAGTGCTCAGGTGCTCAAGTACCGCTCCCCTCTCTTAAGCCAGGCACTCCCTCTCATTGCTTTTCCTCAGGAAAAGTCACCCAACTCAAAACACACCAGGGCACCTAATAATGCTACCCATGGTAGGCTTGCTTTTTCTTTAGTCGGAAGAAAAAAGTTTTGAGTTTTGTATTTGACACTTGTGCTGAGCTGTGTTGTTGAGGGACGTGTATGAAAAATACACTGCCCCCAAATCCAGGTTCTTCAGTTGCTGGGTATGCACTGGTTATTGACTGGATAATAAACAGTGTAGTGACACACACAATGTGATTTAGAAGGTAGCTGGTTATGTGCAGCTGACTTGAATTCAGTAGACCTATACTACCTTGGGAGAGGTCCGTAGCTGTTATTTAGCATATGTAGGACCTTCCCAGCTGGAAAGGTGAAATGTCAAATCATTGTTACCAGTTCAGAAAATTATGGGTATTTATTGTTTTTCATTTTTAACAGTGCTTAATCAGGTTATTTTTAGATTTACTCTAAGGCAGAAAAGAGTCTAACTGCACAAATAAAAACAATATTATGCTGTGTTTTAAATTAAGGATAAGCTTTTTTCATTAAAATATTTGAGTTTTGCAGGAGTACTGACATCAACATTATGTAGTGGTTAGCAGCTCCCATTTTTGCCAGACTCCAAGCCTAGAAGGTAAGATTGAATATGTGCACATGCATTTTGTAATCCATCAGTATGGATCTTGTCATTAATGCTATGTGCACATACACAGGAAATTATTAATGTTGCTCAAAGGATGTCTTTTAACAGAGTGTTTAGGGTTGTTCTTAAGAATTGTCTAAGAAGTTGGTCCCTTGCCAAAAAGAACATGAATTGGAACTCCTTAGACTACTGCACACTTCTTTAATCACATCACATCACATCATACCAAAACATACATCCTGCCTAAGAACTGAACTGCAGAGCTAACAGAGAAAGCCTAGTTATCTCTAGGATATTACTGTGTCAGAACGGGGCCCTGTAGCTTCCTGTTGATAGAATTACTCTTCATTAAAGCTACCTTCTTCAGATGAAGTCTTCCTGTTAGAACAGACATGAAATAACTACACTTTGTACTAGAGCTTGTGTTTTCCACTTGGTTCAATCCTTGAGGGAGGGCACAACTAGCTGGCACTAACCACTTTATAGCTAATAAATATTCCAGATTTTAAAATATCTGTTTTTTTTTCAATCTTACTAATTTTATAATCTGAAAATTTCACTAATATTTTGTGAAAATTATGTTCCTGATTTGTTGTTACCAGCTCTTCTATATGTGGTTTTGATTAAAAATAAAATCCAGGCTTTGTTGTTTCTCACATAAAGCCAACTCATCTGTAAAAAATTAAAATCATTTAATAATAAGGCCGGTTTCCCTATTGTATGAGTAATAGTTGTGATCTGAGACCCACCTCTTCCCATAGCACCTATCTTTGTCTTGCCCAGCCTGCAATGGTTGTCCTAGCAGGTCTTTTCTCTCTCTGTACTGTTCATAGCCTCTACCAGGAAGTCTGTGCAGATAGTGTGGGCATTTTTCTGATCTGAAGATGCTGTGATAAGAGAAAAGGTTGCCTTATGGCTTATTTCAAAAGAACAGGAACTTTAAAAGACTTGCATGGTCTGTGGTTTGACCTGAAAAAAATGTGACTTACAGAGCATCACAATGAAGGCTGGAAGTTATAAACCTAAGCAAAACTGTTCAATCTTGAATAAAATCTGTGGTGTGCACAGCTGAAGAGCTGTCTCTGAGCTATGATGGTAAATGTACTTTCTTCTCAGATTCCCCCAATTCCTCTTCTGAAATAAGATCCTTGTAGCTCTTTTACTGTCTCACCCTAAATTTTTCCCTTTTACTTATGAGTTTTCAACCTTGCCAGAAACATCATAGCTCTCCAGGTGTCCAAAGAAGCGAAGGAAAGACAAATAGATTTTTATTCGCTAAAAACCAGATCTTCATGGTGCAGTTAAAACCTTACTGCTCTGTCCCCCAGGGACACTCTTTGCAATCAGAGGGCCACTGTCCGTGGATGGTGAAGTAGAAGGACAAAGACAGCACTAAGGAAAAAAATAAAGGAGATGGGCAGGACTGGCAAACGATTCATCCTCGTGTTCTGTTACATGCTATAAAATTGGTATGAGCACAAAAGTTACCCTAGAAATTATGTTGCCTTTTTTGCTTTTACAATTCACCAGAATCTGGCAATACTCTGTAATGACTATATTTCAGGTACAGTGTTTCTATGAACACACATTCAAGGAGGGGTTTTGGATATGTTGATGCTGTGGCTCCATCTGACAGCATTTATTAGAATAGTATTTGCCATAAGTATCTCATGTTTTTTACTCATTTGGAGATCAAACTGAAGAGCAGGGTTTCATCTCTGGTTTCTGTCATGGCATCTACTGAAGTATGAGCTCTGATCTTTAAGTTTCTTCTCTCTGTGAGGATATAAATGTTTACATTTGTATGTATTTTTAACTTAAAGTCAAACATGTAACACCTTATTTTCTCTCAGTGTTTTCATCTTGAGCTGTGACAAGGGGCTAGTTCCAAGGGGCTAAGTTTCCTGTAATATTTTATCAGGAAGGGAAGATTTAGGGCCACAAACTATTTGGTATGGTATAGTCAGTCAATACAATCATGATTTTTTGTAAAGGATTAAATATAGAGAACTTGTTAAGCCCTATTTGGTCTTTGGTCACAAATTATAAAAACTGTATCAGTTCTGTTTGTGTTTTGTTTGGTTAGGTTTTGTTTGGATTTTTTTTTTTTTTTTTAAGTGACAGTAGTATTCCCAATTCTAAAGATATATTCAGAATAAGCAAGAGTACAAAGAGGCTCCAGAATCTCTGCTGGCTCCCCCTGATGCTCTCTGTCTTGCAGGACAGAAGACATTAAGATACAGAATGATTAGGTTGGAAGAGATCTTCAAGATCATTGAGTCCAACCCATGCCCCAACACCTCAACTCAACCATGGCATTGAGTGCCATATCCAGTCTTTTTTTAAATACATCCAGGGATGATGACTCCACCACTTCCCTGGGCAGGCCATTCCAGAACTTTATGACTCTTTCCATGAAAAACTTTATCCATATATCTCCCTGACGCAGCTTGAGACTGTCCTCTTGTTCTGTCAGTTAATGCCTGGAGAAAGAGACCAACCCCCTCCCACCTGACTACAACCACCCTTCAGGAAGTTGTAGCCTAAGTGTTTCTTCCTAAGGAAGCAAACTATATTCCTCTAAAATGAGCTGGTTGATAACAAATAGTACTTCAGAAAGGAGTTTCTGCAGGTGATTCTGAACAACTTCTGCAAATTACCTGATCTTTGCCACTCTGAGCTTTTCCTGCACTAAATGTCCTCTTTCTGTTCATACCTCTTGTTCCCTCCAGAAGCAGCAATAATTGCAGTGTTCTTACATGACTTTCAGCACTGGCTTTCGTGCTTTGGCACCAAGGTCTATGGTAACTGAGAGCCCATCTCCTTTAAAGCTCAGCTCATTTCTCCCACTGTAAATACCAGCTGGGTATTATTTCCTCTTCAGATGTTCCCCATGTATTTTTGTACTTTGTTTTGTTGGTTTTTATCTCTCAGTACTGTCCGAATACCTCTCTATGTCCAAAGTCTATTACACCTTTTTTTTGGTAACAGTTCATAAAAGGAAATATGATTTTTAGATAATTTTTCTGCATACTGATCTGCATTTGAAGAGACATTAGGCAAAAAGTTGTTTATAAAGTAACTGTTATTTTATGACATCAAAGATTAGTTCCATAAGAGAAAATGCAGTTTTTTTGATTAATGAAATAATTTATACATCTTGAAATAATTTTCTTAGTGATATTGTATTTTATCTGAAACAGAGATATTGTTTTTCAGGCACCCCTTTCAAAAACAAGCCTTTACATGATTTTTTTAACTCCTGTTTTCATAGACTACAGTATCTTCAGTGAATTCTAGTAAGTTGAGCTTTTTCGTGTCTAAAGAGACCATTTTTGGCAGTTTTTCTTCATAAATTGTGAGCTAGAAATATCTAGTCTAGTATAAATGCTGAAAGCAGTCTGGTTGTAGCAGTAGCTGATATAGACCTCTACACAGGCTTACAAATTATAGTGAAAAGATTGTTTTGGGTTGTTTTTTTTTTTTTTAAGATAAAGCCTTTTAAGGCGGGCTATCATATAAATTTTTCCAAGGAAAGTAAAGTAGGTCTTTTGCTAATAGGAGCTCTTGATTCTTCTAATAATGTTGCAATTTTATGCTAATTGTATAAATTTGTCTTTGTATATAACTGCTGACATTTGGGTTTCATGGTTCACTATGTCTTTTGAAACTTATTGCTTCTATCTCTTAATTTTACCATGAAAATTTGTTTTGAGTATTTTAAGTCATTTTTATTTAATATAAATGTTTGACTTACTGAAAAGAAAATCTGGAATAACTTTCCTCTCTTTCTGGCAAAGTGACATTTTTAATAATGAAATGTCTGTTCCTTTAAAAAAAACTCTGATGTCCAATTTTTTCTTTCTTTTTGTTTCAAGAAGAAAACAATTAAATTTTAAGATAATAACTTTATGCTGGTTTTGTATGTTATTTCTCTTGATACCAAATTCTATTTGTCTCTGCTCTTCAGAGAGAAAGAAAAGAGAAAACTGACTGAAGCTGTTCTTAAACAGGTAAGTTCCACATTCAGTTTATATTGTTTGATTGATTGAGCTGCATCCTTCCAAGTCTAAGTGAATGTGATTTTGGCACTCCTGACATATATTAGAGGTCTTTTATTCTATAAAACAGGTATTGAGTATATGTTTTAGTGTTCTAATACTGCTGCCATTTGCCAGATTATCTAAACATTTCCTATTTAAGGCTTTTGTTCCCATTTGCATTTTCTCCTCAAAGGAAAAATAGCTCATTGTCATAACCTATTATATTCACAAGAAGT